GAGGTAGTTAACATCTCGCCACCGCAGTGCCCCGCCATAATACGACGCAGCATCTGCTTCCCAGTGGATGTTTTAGATCCCCTGACACCATTCGCAAGAGTTGGGCCGCCGCGGCGTGCCGGTGTTTGCGTACAAATTTCCCAAAAATCACTCGGTTTGGAATTTACCCAGCAATCATCGTCACCCCACCCCCCACCCCTACCGTGAAAAGCTCAGCACTCTGACCACCGAGCCACCTGGCCACCTCCATATTCAATTGCTTATTTTCCAATCGGCGACCACCTTGAGTCACGACATTTCATCGATTCAAACCCCTGGGGTGAATCCTTTGGCTCAAGCCGCAATGCGCAGGCAGCGTCTTTAGGGCAAGTGGCGAGGTCGGTCCACTCTGAGCTGCGCCGGAGAGCCGGAGAGTATGCTGTGGCGGCGCGTTGGTGGCAGCGCGCAGGGCCTTTTGACGAGGTTGAAGAGTAGCGGCCCTTAGTGCGTCCTTTCTGTCGGAGTCTTCGGTTCGCATTGTGCCTTTGGAGACGCTCGCGTTTGACAACGAGTGCCGGGGAATCAAAGCCTTGCTTGCAAACGAGGCCAGTTCTGGAGGCCCAAAACGTGAAGTGGCTGGGTAGGATGGGGCGGCGAGTATTCTTCAAACTATGGGGGCTCTTAGTGCTTTTTTTTGTTCTTTCATAGCATGCGAAGGCACGGCTTTTTCACAAAGAGAAATAAACACGCCCTCTTTTGCAGGCTTGAATATATTTTTTTGTTTTGTCTCCGTGGGTCTTTGATCTCCTTTAGCCTGGGAAGGTGAAGCTAATCTGTCTGTGCCACACGCGACTCTCGGCTCTAATGAGCCAGCGCTGCGTGAGATAGCGTTTGCCGGAAATGCGCTCGCCGACCGTCAAAACAAACAGCTGTCCCAGACGCCCAAGCAAATGAGGTTGTGTGGTCGGATGTAACGAGTGAATTTTCAGCCTCAACTTTTTCGAGCTAACCAAAGTTGCTCAGAGGTCAGAGCGCTGAGCTGGCGGCACCACCACCACCACCACCGAGATGCTAAGTTCAAATCCTGGCAGCCGCCTGCGATTAAACTGGCTTAAATGCAGCTGTGGTCTCAGCCCAGTCACCCATGACTGCACAAAGACACACACACGCAGACAAAATTTAATTTGCTAATGCAGTTCATTTGGTAAAACGTTTAAGCTGTGAAAATTAACAACATCGGTTTTACTGTGGTGCGAGGGACATTAGTCTCGGGAGCAGGCTGTGTGAGTAAGTGGTGTCCCACCACTTTGTTGATCAGAGGGCACCTGTAGGGCTTTCAGTTTGCAGCTCTGCGATGTCTGCTTCTGCTGAGTGTTCTCACGCACGAGTGAACCTAAGGGACACTTAATCTCCTAACAAGAAGGGGTCACCGCCGACAGCCACCAGGTTTATAAGGGGGCTGCACAGGGAAGTGGACCAAAATAATCGTTGTACTGTGTTTTCGATTGCTCCCGCAACTATGCTCCCCTCCCCACCTTCACCAATCTCAGCTTCCATTCATCGCCACAACCCGCACATGATGGTGGAGAGAGGAGGCTCCTCATCCGGCAGTGGAATGACAAAGAGGCTTGTACTTCGATTCATAAATTGCCCCAGGGTCCCTTGCGCAACGCGTACTGCCCAGCAGCAGCTTGGCCTCAAGGGGTGCTTTGGTGGCGGCCATCGGTGAGAATTCAAACACGCCACTTTCTTTTACCCTCCAGGCAAAAAACCTTCGGGCCCATTGAACGCTGCTCGCATAACGCAATTTGTATTTGAATTAGTGTAATTAATTGTTTACTTCTCATTTGCGTGTTCGCGTCTTATGTTTCCCTTTCGTTTAAATTGGCGTGCCATATTTTTCCAGTTAGCTACGTCTTCCAATGTCCTAAATCCCCTTTGATTGCGATATGTTTATGCCGAGTGGTGGTAATAAGCGTCGCGGAATACACCTCCAGCAGAAACTCTCTTTTGGTTAGAGAGTTAGCTAATTTGTATTTGATCGTATCGTGGGTGGTTAATCTGGCCGCAACTTGAATTCAAATGCGTTATTAAATGCTGCATTAAATTGCATAATTGCGTTATGGTGCAGATGTCTGCTCTTCTTCGTAAGTGAAATGTTGCTAAGTAAGTTGGTGGTCATCAGTGACTGCACAAAAAAATAAAAAAAAAAGAACCCCGTCACATTTAGTTTTTGGATCTGCACCTAATTTGGTTAAATTTCAGGCCTGACAATCAAAATGTCCCTTTCATTGCCACGCGACGAACATCGCTCTCGTGTCGAGGAGTGCTGCCCCGCCACCGTGTGTGGACCAGAGGTCACCTGACGAGATCCCGGACAGTTTACCTCTGTGACGTCCGCTCCCGGGCCACGCGTTGCATCACGGCACCCGTGCGAGGCGGCGACTGGCTTTGGGGAGGATTTCATCCAGCAGTGGCATTGACCCGTGGCTCACGATGACGGTTGCACTGTTTCGGATGAAGGGGCATACGAGTGTGTCGCCGGGTCGTTGAGCGTACGGTACACGCGCGATGCAGAGCTCCGCTGAACAAGTTCCAATCCCCCCACCTTCGTCCCCCCTCCCCCCCCCCCCCGCTGATTTTTCAGCAGCGAGATTGGCTAACGCCTGAGCAGCTGCCGTACAAATCGAGGCAGCGTTTGGGAATAGAGGGGGGGGCGGGAGGTGTGAGATCTTCCACGGTTGTTGGATGCCTACGTTGGACCGCCCGTCAAATGAAAGGGGGGGGGACCGGTCTTACGCAGTGCTGCCCATGTGTGGCTGAATTGGTTATGGGTCTCATCCAAATGGCCCAGAGGCATCGTTGAACCTTTCACAACCCGTTATTGATGTGTGTGTGTGTGTGATATATAGCAGCCAACATCACGTTTGAATAAAAATACCAACCGTGTAGAAATTGTGTTCTCACTTCACTTAAATTACAATGCATTTTTGGTCTGGGAATTGCTCAAAATCTATCCTGACTGCATTTGACTAATGTATCGCGATTAAAGGGTACGTAAAAACCAAAGCGTAGGCCGCATTCAAGTCTGCTCTACAAACGGACACTCGTCCTGTGATGTTGCTGGTCTTGTGCGAACCAACAAACCTCCGCACCGTCCGTGGTTCACACTGATAACAAGCGGGGAGATGCGAGAGCATCGGCACGGAGGTGAGCGCACTGCGCTAGGAGCCCGGCGACCCGAGTTCGATTCTTGACGACAGCCCCCAACCCCGTCGGTGGCGAGTGATGCCCGAACCGGTGCTGGTTCCTCTCCCCTTTCACCAACCCGTACTGGCCAGCATGGTGAATTCTGGTCGAACAATTCCCCATGGCTGACGCGACATACGCAGCCCTTTTCACAGTAATTGTGATACACGATGGCCTGTATGTAACGAGTGAAAATCACACGGCACATTGGCATTTTGGGCGGTGGTCTTTCTTCAGAGTAGAGAGAGGTTATCTGGCCTGTCCGTGGTTTGGAGATCGCATTAAGCTACGTGATGCCTTGGAATTGCTGTGATTTTTTTTCCCCCTGTAGTTGAGCGCGAGCGGAGTGCATGGAGACCACGGTTCGTCAACTAAATTTTGTCCGCGGGCCACGGATTAAAATGAGCGTGAGCGTGCTGGCAGGCCATTCGACGTTGTAGCTTACCGACGCCCCGAGGCATCATGACGTCGTCCGGCCTGTACATGACCTTAAATCGCTACCTCTTTCCGACAGAGCTTTCATCCCCCCCCCCGTTATGTCTTTTGTCAACTCGCTCATCTGTATATTTTTTTTTTACCTACGGAATTCTTATCCCGTCTATCTTATCTCGCTTATCTGTCTCTTTCTCTCCTCAATAATCTGCATCTCTTGTCTCCGGTTCTGTCATCCCTGTGTTTGATTTCTCTCCCATTCATCTCACTCGGCTGCATCTCTGATCTTTTCGCTATCTCGTCACGCAAAAAAAAATGAAGTTCCTCTCTTTCGTCACGCGAATTTGTCTCTTTGCGTCTTCGCGAAACCGTATCTCTCGCCGGGGCTGCTTCAAGAGCGCTCGCGGGCCAGATGTGGCCTACGGAGGGCACCCCCAGTCGAAGATCCCTCGACGTAGACAGAGGCCGTGGCCATTTGCCGCGATGGACGCCCCTCACGCGGCTTGCACAGCTCAGCCTGTGCCGTGAAAGCTCCTCCGCTGCTCACGGGGATGAGCGTGAGAAGGCGGCACAGAGCGCTGCGATAATTTTCACCGCGGCGTTTCCAGTGCCCGTGGGTTCAGCCGAGCAATCATGAATCCCAACCCCGAATTTTAACCCCCAGCCCGAGCTGACCCTAATCCGAAGCCTTAATTCCGTGACTCTGTCCGTGACACTAACCCTGACCCCTGAATTCCATCTTGTGACTGAAGCCATAACCCGTGATTCTAATTTGAATCTGAACCCATAACAGTAACACAGAATCTAACCATCAACTCCAATCCTCATAATAACCCTAACTCCTTAAACTTACCCTAACCCTGATCTTAACATAATTCTAGCCTAAACCTTCAACACTACGCCCAAACCTACCCCGATCCTGAGCATCAAACTTAACTCCTTGAATTTATGATACTACCTATAGCTCCTTGTATTAACCCTAACCCATAACACTAACCCATAACACTAACCCCTAGCCCTAACGATTATCATTGACTCCCAACTCCTCCTTCTTTCGTACGGCTGCTGATGTCGATGCAGAGCAACAACTTCAATTTCACATCTCAGGCGGTCAAGCCAACCGATCACCGCGTCGGGAGACAGCGGAGTAGCGTATCGCCGTGATGTCTCCGTCGTATTTTGTGGATCGGGAGTTGCGTCGTTATATGTTGTGCGGTATGTTCTGGACGGTCCCTAACCCCTAACGGGGGACGCTGAGCTCCCATCGCTAACCCTGGCAGCTGACCTCGAACCCTCGCCGCAACACGTGCGCTGTGCCGTGTGTGCGTGCGCGTGCGCAGGCTCTCGCAGAGGATCGAGGAAAACAGGAGCCGCCTGCAGGGTCTGGACACACGCCTCTGTCTGGCGCAGGCCAAGATTGACCACATGAAGGGCAGCAAAAAGGCCATCAAGGTCAGTAGGGCCACTCGCTCTGGGGGGGGGGGGGGGGGGGGGGGGGCGTGGGGGAATGGGGGGGGGGCGGTGGGTGAGTGTCTGGCAGCGGCACAGGGTGTCATTGACCAGTCCGGCCGTCTGGGTTCGAGCTGCACGTTGAGGATTGGAAACGCAGTGCACTTTTAAAATCGCCTCGATTGAAAGCTCATTTCTTTAGAACTGCTTTTTGTGTCTAGTTTGTTGTCTTTCCACCCCCCCCTCCTCCTCCCCCCGCATCTCCGATTAGTACGATTGGATATGTACCGTGCCAAAGTTCAACAGACGTACGTATATAGAGAGTTTTTTGGCTAACCATCGAACAAAGACGGTCACGGCATCGCGTGCTTTCCGATGCACTTTTGCAGCTGTCTGGAGTGCTCTTCTTTCAGATATTAGGAAGCCACTGGAGCTATGCACTATGAAATCATCTAAAAGGAAAATTAATTTCTTCAGAACCGAGTTTTGTGTTTAGTTTGTTGTCCTTCGCCCGCATATCTGATTATCACGGTTGGCTACGTACGGTGCGTAAGAAGTTCAACACAGAAACACGTTCTCCAACTTTCTCTCGAGCTTTTGCCACGCACTACCGCAGGCATCTCTTAGGAGCTGAAGGTCGAACTCAAGTCGCCACCGCTCCTCCGCCCACTGCCAAACATTTCAGGGAGTTGAAAGCGCCCGCAGTTGTGCGTGGCGAAATTTTGAGAGAGAAAAAAGTATTTGACACTCGGCGTACCCTGGAAGACCGCGCTGGCATTTTCAGCGGCGACGAGAGCGTATGTTCTTGAATGCGGTTCCCTGTGTATGTACGTAAGTTGAACTTCTTTCGCACCAATACAAAACCAACCGTGCTAATCGGAGGTGCGGGGGAAGGACGACAAACGAAATGCATAAAGGCAAGTTCTCAAGAAATTAGTTTTCAATGTAGATTTTTAAAGTGCAGAGCTCCAGTGGCTTCCTAATTTCGGAAGGAAGAGCATTCCAGACGGCCGCGGAAGCGCATCTGAAATCGCGCGTCGCAGTGACCAACCGTCTTTGTTCGATGGCGAGCCATAAGCCGCCGCTGCGAGGATGACCGGAGAGTTCGCGTGTGATGGTTTATGCCCCTTGATGAGATCAGCGGGGTATTGTGGTTCATTTGTGGCAAGCAACTTTGATGTGGGTGGAGTTTTTTTTTCCTTACTGATATACATTGGTGGGTGAGCGGCGGTGTTATGGGCAATACTGCCCTGCTTGGATGAGTGACGATCATCGTCGTTGTCGTCGTCGTCAGCCATGATCTATCCACTGCTGGAGGAAGGCCTCTCGAAGCCGCCACCGTCTGCCGTGCTATTGCCCGTATTATGAAGCTGATTTAATTGCTCCATCTGTCTGCTGGTCCCATTTTCTGGCCTGTATTCCTCCTTTGGTGATCATACGACTAGTATAATGAGAAATACAAAACAATAATAACAAGAAGAATAATTTACATCCCTCTTTCAATCCACTGCTAGATGAAGGCCATCGCCGACACCGTGTGCATTCGTGGGGTTTGTTTGACCATGCTTCACCACGCTGGTCAGTGCGGTCTGGTGAAGAAAGGGCCCAGTGCCGACTCAGACATGTGACTCTCTCCTATACCTGTCAAGCCCTTATCAGTGCCCTTCCTTATTACAGACCGATTCAGAACTCATTGGTCACCCCCGTACCCTTATAAATCTCAACGTTCATCCTACAAAGTCCCATCAGAAGGGAGAAACGCAAACAAATAGACGAAACATGTGTTTTTTTTTACTCAATTTCCCTGTACAAGAATACGAGTAAACCGTATGGGTTGACATGTATGATCTCCACTGTGCCAGCACTAAACATGCATATAGAGTGTCACCTGTAATACATTTATTATGGAGCCGAGTTGACCTTGACCCGGGACTTGAACTCAAGCTGTCACGACTATGTGCGAGCGCCCTCCTGTTTTTTTCCCCCCACTAATGCCCGTTCATGATCCCGGGGAATGCCACAAGGCTCTCGCTTGTGATTTAAACTGTTAACCGAACAAAGGAGGTGGGTAATGGACGTTTTTACATGGCCTGTTTAACTTAAGTCAGCCTGCCAATAGGTGATTGCGTGTGCAGTGATTTTCAGAAGGGTTACAATGTGGACCTCTGGTTAACACATTTTCTTAATGCGCAACTTTGTTCGGGGGCGGCATTTTACTGAATCGGCTGCTTCTTTATTGATTCGCAAACGGGGAAGCACGCTCTGCGCGCGCGGGGCGAGCGTACGCACGGTGCCTGGTGACACTGCAGATAGGGAGGGCTTGACTCGCAATCAAAAGAGCTGTCGGTTCGAACCAGCCCCCACGATTCCTCGGGCGGTCCAGTAAAATCGGTACCACTTTGCTCGGCACGCAAACGGTCGCTTGTCCTGTGCGGAAAATATCCCCAGCCGTTGCGATGTGGAATCCGCACGGCTGGCTTCGGGCTGCCAATATGTAGAAGTGCGGCGGCCCATTGCTTAGTAGATCAGCTTTTTACAGCACTTTCTGTAAAAAAGCTCAGAAACTTGTTTCGCAAAAGGGTCCGTATTAGTTTTTGGGTTAGTCCGTGTGGTCGTAATTTTACGCCAAAATTCTTGTCATTTACCCTTACGCCACTTGACAGAATTGTCACGTTTACCAATACACAAATTCATACGTTGTGCGAATGTATTGACCACATTTTTACCAATAAAGCTCCTCGCCGGTGGCCCAAGACTTCACGTGACTGACTTTAACACCCAGCGTACAAAATCGCCTTTCGCTTCGACGGCTTTGAGCTTCCTTCAGCGAGTTCGCCTAGACATCGGGGGGGGGGGTGGGGGGGGGGCGATGCTTCCGTTGACTCGGCAAAGCTCAGCGGCAGACAGTTGGTGGGAGTGCGGTTCACTGGAGCGCCGGACTACCCTGAACTCGCTTTGTAAAGGCTTGCGAATTTAAGGCGTGAGAATTTGTAATCGCGTATTTTTTTTTGTTGTTCAGTTCCTCGGTTTCGGTCTCCTCTGCGCAGAGTCTTCTTCGCACGGCCTCATCGTGATATTAATCATTCAAAATGTATCTCCCTGAAATATGCATATTTAGGAAAGGGATATTCGCGGAACCTAACCGTGGAACGGCTTGGGCCCCTCGGTTACACCTAATAAACGCACTTTACGTCAGTGAGGAAAGAAAACGCGGCGGCACTTGTGTAAGTTTTCCCACTTCGTTAATGAGAGAGAGAGACGTCGTCTTTTGACAAGACGGATGCCGTGATCAACCCCCGTGAGGTTTTAGGATGCTCTCTAACCGCCAATTTGATGCGGCTCATGCCATTTCTTTTCTGAACTTATGTCACTGGGTGCATAGCAGAATGTGCTGACATTTATAACCGCATCGATGAAATACGGATGATCGAGTTTGGGGTCATGTTTGATGAAATGTATTAGATGTATGTACATATGCTGCACTTCTTTTGCACTGTACGTAGGCAACCGTGCTAATCGGAGGTGTGTGGGGAAGGACAACAATCGAAACACCCAATAGCAGTTGTAAAGAAATTAATTTTCAGTCTAGTTTTCAAAGTGCACCGTTCCCGGTGCCTTCGTTATATCGGAAGGGAGAGCGTTACAGATGGCCGCAGAAGCGCATCTGAAAGCGGTAAAAGGTTTTTTTTTTAAATTTTGATTTAAAGCTTTCGTGACTGCAGTAATTCATATTCTTAGTTTTTTCGGTAAAGTCACGTGAGAATTTTTTATTGTTTTATATATATATTTTGTTATTTTGTTGTTTCTCTTCAACGTGACTTTACCGAAAAAACTAAGAATATAATAGGTGTTTTTTTTGTTTTACCGAGTTCGGTTTTTTTCCCATCCACAATTTAATGCGGCTCCGGAGACACACGTTTGCCGACGCCTGCGACGTGAGAGCGGTGCGGATGCCCGACGTGAACTAAATTGCGAGTGTAATTATTCCGCGCCGCGCTCCCCTGACGTTTGATAATCCACACCGCGACCGCGAGCGAGCGTAAAGGGAATCGGGCGAACGGGGGACGGTGAACCTCGAGACCTCGGCAAATGAAAGGTTCGTGATTGGCTGGCTTTGATGCCGACCATCAAGCGCCATCGGAAGCTGCCCGCCACCCCCCCCCTTCACTCGGCCGTTGTCTCCGTAGGCCACGCGCCCACGGGCTTTACAATAAAAAAAAGGCCTCGATTCCGAGGACCCACCCCCAATGACCTTTTGGCAAGTGCGTTAAATATTTAATAGGACAATAAGAATAATAACGGCTTTAAATATATTCGGTGTCGTTTGATATCTGCGCTCGAGGTAGAATTCCTCCTGCGACACCCTCAGCCTCGGAGTCATCGTAAAATGTCGTTAATGCGGAGTGGCGCATTTTTAACGTCCCGTCAGATCGCACCTAACGGCTGTAATCGCAAGACTCTGTTCGGTGCAGTGCCAATGCGTTTCCCATTTCGTCGAGCAGATGCGGGCATGACCACATTCTTACAAATCAAAGTGGCCTTTTGGCTTCAAGTTTTATTAGAAAACATCTTTTACCGCATCGCGCGCTTTCAGACGCGCTTCTGCGGCCATCTAGAACGCACTTCCTATCCAATATGAGGAAGCTACTGGAGCTATGCACTTTTAAAACCGGATTGAAAATGCAATGCTAGAGAACTGCTTCTTGGCTTTTGGTTTTGTTTGACCTTCCCCACACCTCCGATTTGCACGGTTGGCTGCGTGCGGTATTTTGTCAATGTGGTTATACATGCCAGCACATTGTGCTATGCACCCGGCGACAAAAGTTTGATTCTTGAACATGGCCCACGGCTACCACAAGTGGCGGGTGATATCCAATACCCGTTTTGGTCTCCTCTCTCCGTCACTCGCCCAAGCCGAGCAGTGGATATGGCGTGTGAGTAGGTAAATAAGTAAAACTCAATTTTATATGACACCATTGAAGCAAGGCCTCGCAGCACTTTAT